TATTATTAGTCTTCCTACTTGCTTGTACTTCCTTATTTTTTGGAGATATTCAATGCGTAGTAAACAAATGTTGGTCGTTTCAATTAACAAATTCCTTTTGTTCTCTGTTTTTTTTCCAGCGGAAGCCCAAGTCATTCAAAATTCGCCTTAAAGTTATTTCTGAGCCCGTAAAATTGATGTCTTGTTCTAATTTTCTACGAACCCTTTCCACGGTAGGAAGTTCATTGTTAGTTAAATGATAATTATGAACACATCTCTTAATCTCAGATTGGTCGAAGTTATGAATTTCGGTTAGGTACTTTTTTCGTTCCAGATCTTTTCGTACCCGGGGTCCGGAACAAGATAGGTAAGTCGGAGTTTTTAGCTTCGTTAAAAAGTCGCCTTACAGTACTAATGGATGTTTTTGTTGCCACCGCTGTCTGTTTCAGTTTCAACATCATTCTTGCCGTCTTTTTTGAGAAAACAATACACATCGTACACCATTTTTCTGGCTTGTCTCTACAAAACTATGTTAATTTGTCGTGACATACTGTTTATACTTTATAAACAAAAAAAAATACAAATAAAAACTCAACAATAATAACAACGGAACAATGCACTGGCGTGTACTCGGTAGTCCCAAGACGCGAACGCAGCGGGAGAGGCGAGGGTCGACTAATCTACCAATGGCACAATCGAAATGATGGTTCCCGCCGTTGCGCCGTATCGCACCACCAAGGAGATCGAGACGTTTCTGCGCAAGGACATTGTTTAAGATGTTTGCCGGTAACTATATGTAGGTATGTATGTTCCGGAATTCGAATATGATTTTGACCTTCATAACGTTGAATTAAATTTAAACTTTGCACACTTATCGAGCACCGACGATAATACAATAATTAAAATAGTTTGTCCCATTATATTGATCAGGACCTTCAGGATTAGCGGCTTTGTTTTACGCCATTCGTTAGTGCCGGCCAGCAGCAGTCAAGGCATTAAGTCCAGGGATAGAATAAAATCACAATCACATGAAATAAATCATATGATTTATGAAACATTTCATCACACCTGGGACCTGTGCAGTCGGAGTGGTTTTGTAAATCACAAAACCACTCCGACTTATTTATTATTATTAAGTATGCCATTTATCTTCGTCTACGACTAAATCACAATCACATGTGAAATTACTAACCGTTTCATCAAATAAATATTATTTAAAAGTAGCAATAATTTCCATGTCTAATTCAGTCGCTCGGCTAAGCTCTTAGTGATCGCATTCCGAAATTGTGAAAATACCATCGTACGTGTTAAAAGTGTAAAAATCAATCGACTGCAAAAAAAAATTGTGTAACTTTCCATCGGTAAATAAACAAAACATTAAGTTATTAGTTATAAAACATTAATATAAAATATGTAGATGGACCAACTCCCACGATCTGAAAATCAATCCAACTAAGACTCAGGTAACTGTCGTTGGAAGTTTGCGAATGATCGCCAAAATTAACTGGACAAAACTACCTCAAAGTATTTGTAATGGCACACCTATTTATTACAGTGATAAGGTCAAAAACCAGGGGATTTTCATTGACAGTACCTTATCCTGGGGTCCTTAGCTACAAGAGCTGAGTCGCAAAATGTTTGCCGATGCTATTTCAACCAAGATTGCTCTTGCACAGTCACTTCTTCTCCTTATCCTTGATTATGCAGATGCCAGTTATCTAGATCTTACTGTAGACCAATCGATAAACTTGAGAGACTCCAAAATCTCTGCATAAGATTCATATTTGGACTTCGCAAATATGATCATGTTTCTGAATATCGTAAAAAGCCCAAGTTTATACCCATTCGCCTTCGCCGGAATGCACATATTATTTCTCTTCTCTATAGTATTCTTTTAAATCCTTTCACTCCACGTGACCTCAAATCACGGTTCACCTTCTTAAATGACTCACACCCCAAATTGTTGAGATCTTCAGAGAACCTAAAACTAAAAATGCCGAGACATTCCACTAAATTCTTCGACGTCTCCGTCTCTGTTCAAGCAGTTAAGTCGTGGAACGCCCTACCGGTCGCAATCAGACGTATCCAAACACTAGCTTCCTTCAAAAAGCAAGTGACGGAATATTACTTGGGAGATATCAATATCCCATAAGTTATTAACTTTCTACCAAGTCAATAAGCTTTTATATATACTCACCAAAGTACAACAAATATATACTATGTGTAACTATCACTATCTTTTATATATATATATATATATATATATACACTACTTTAATTTCCTCTTTTTATCTATTTCCTAAAACACCAGCCTTACCCTATACCTCTTCCCCTTCATGTTTTCTCTCCCTACCACAGTTGCCTGTAAGAGATTTCCTCTGAGCGATAAGGGCGCCCATTTGTATATGTTATTAATTGTATATTTATACGTATATTTATGTTATTAATTGTATAGTTATTTAAACTACTTTGTATCAAGTAAATCAAAACCACTAGGATAGTTTTATTTTACTTTACACTTTATTATTACTACACATATACTACTACATATTATTATTACTTTACATTTTATTTATGAATGATACTCCCTCCACAAAGGCTAGTAACGCGCTTGTGACTCCAGTGTTGCAGGCGTTCATGGGCCACGGTAGTCGCTTTCCAACAGGTGACCCGGTTGCTCGTTTGCCCCTATTCCATAAAAAAAAAGATAGTGATCACGTAAATCTGCTATACCAACTTTTTGTAGATGTAAGTTTTTTTTCAATACATAAGTACGAAGTATTTATATAAGAACTATTTACATCTTTGACTCAAGATTCTATTAATAAACCAAGTACTTTAAATTACCAAATACATCTGACATGTACGATTTCCGTTACAAACAAATACACAACAATTCGCTTGAAACATTAAGCTAATTTTTTTTTTTTATCTAAACGGGAATGGTTATATTGTTGGTTTATTTCACTATGTTCACCTGGGTGATATCACCCGAGTGAATGAAGTAGATTTATGTCCTATGTATGTAGAAACACAATGTAGAAAAACAATCAATACTAGTTAAATGAATATTTAATTAATATTAATAGTGACTTATTATGATGTCCACTAATTGTGTAATGAAAATTAAACTGATTTAAATATTAAGTTGTCTGTTAATTTGAAAGTTTTAATCATCATGTTTTATGTGAGTGATAAAAGTAAACAAGATGAATTAAAAAAATGAAATGAGGAACCCAAACATCTACCTCATTCACCTGGATGATATCACCCAGATGAATGATATTTTATCAAAGATACGTTATATTCATACTGCACACACAAAATATTTGTGCCGTAACCGTATACATCTATTACCGCATTTTAGAACAAAACATACACTTACCTGTAGTATGATATTCCTTTATCTTTATTTACCTTTATCGTAATTTGTTCACTTTCGGAATACACAGGAATTTGTTTCCACAATATAGTGAGGTTGATGTTCCTGGTCTAACCTGACCTGACTCATTTTTTTAATATGAAAAATGCTATAGGTTTTATTCAAGAAGCGAGAAAATAAGTCAAACTTTAAATAACTCAATGTATTATAATTATGTAACTCCTTCATTACAAAGTTTTTGCAACAATTTCGTAAAATTAATCCCCTTCAGTACAATAAACATCAGAAAATTTAAATCTACAATATAACTACAATAATCGCGAGTACACCATTTCCTCCAAACATACCATTCCAATAATGTATAATAGCTTTATATTATATTTTATTCTGGCACAGTGCCAGCAAACTCACTGTATTATACATATTCTTCACTTCAATTTCTATTTATATATTTTCATCAGTATCTATTCTGAATGTAAATCAATAGATTACAACAAATATAGATACTTGATTTAGTTTTTGTACTTAAATCAATAATTACCTACTTAATAATAGCAGCGTAGGTAACAAAATGTAATAACTTTATAAAAAATATTGGTGTATTTAGGCGGTTAATTGTGAGTTACAATAGCACCGTGCCAGCTAGCAACACTTAAACTGGGAAAAATATAATTTCTTAAACGGCCTAGGAGTTTATAAATTGGAAAGACGACAATAAACAATTTATAGTTATCATATAGACAGGCCATATACATATTACTACAGTTTTATATATATTAAAAAGTAGTATTAATTTTATAAGCAATAGATTTCATGCTATGGTTACCTATATGTGCATAATTATTATTTACACAAATAATATATTGTATCAAAATTCCGCTTTCTGCTAATTTGTTACATCGAATTTAGTACAGTAATATATCGCGGACTTAATGTCTGGAAGTATGTCTGTTGGTTGGTGTAGTTCATTTCGAATGGATGTTCGAAAGCAGATTATCTAGAACAAGTACTATTTTTGATATGGAAGACTAACGATTTTTGTTTATTCTAAATTTAGTTTGTGGAATTTGATATGCCAATTACTTTTTAAGATAGGATTTTGGAAGTAGATGTTACACAGTGTAAATACATCTTAAGTATATATTTTATAAAAAATACATACAAAAAGTAAGTAATAGTGGTACTTATTAAGATAGTTGCTACTTTTAAAGATTTTTCAATATGTGTCATTGATATTGAATCATAGTTCATTTAAAACATGAACCACTAAAATATTTATATAATGTTATGGATACGTTTGAATCGGTTATTCTTAATCCAGCTCATAGTTCCATCTGAATTACAATCAACAAGTTTTTCTATCCCTATTTAAGAGTCACTAATAACAAATACAATATTTAAGCCTTACGATGGAAGCAAATGTAACAACATTACAATTATATAAATTTGAGATATTTACAATATAGATAGTTTCACAGTACATTCAAATAAGATAAAGTAGTTTTTAATAATATAATTAAAGCGCATCGTTTTGTTTTCACACGTGTCTGAGTCAAAACCCCAGTTGCAGAGTTGTACCTTAAACTAATAACAAAACAAAATTGCACATTAAAATATTCTACTTAAAATAATTTTGGCACTAAATATCTGTGGCACTATAATTAACTCGTATGTTCTTATCTTGATCATCATTTTCAATAGTCTTTACTTCACTGTCTTTGTCACTTTCACACATATTTTCACACGAAACCGAGTCTTCATCATCGGAGGATTCCCTGCCAGCAGGAGGCCCTGGTAGGTTTGCACTGTTAGGTTCCCTGTATTCCAGTTTTGTTGGATCTTTTTCATGCAGTTTACGAGCGAGCGTTTGCAAACTGGCAAGGGAACTGGCGCAGTCTGTGGTATCAATGTCTGTTAAACTAACACCTGCACGCTCAATTTCCGTGAATGTTCCGAATGGCAATTTAAATAAACATTCCAGACGCATTACGTGCATTTTACTTCGAAGATGCTTAGCCAAGTGGCCATGTATTCTAAATGCTATATTACAATCGGAACATCGAAATGGTCTTGGGTTAAAAGATGTTGCAGCTCCAAATGTCGAAGTCATTGAAACTTTGTTATGATGTGAACCTGAGCGTTCATGTTTTTGAAGATGTCCTCTAGTTCGGAAACTTACAGCACATACACTACATCTAAATGGGCGTTCCATATAATGTATATTTAGATGTAATCTCAACTGTGATGGTTTTGTAAAAGTTTTATTACAAAAGTCACAAACACGACGCCCATCTTCCATTAGCCTTCCTGGCGAGTAGGATGCATTTTCGTAATCCTTTCCTTTAGTAACTTTAAAGGCTACACCTCCAACACCTATGACTACTTTCCTCGCAACAGGGTCATGATCTAAAGGAAGCTTCTTTGTTTCAATTTCCGATACAAATTCATCGCCCTTGGTGTTATCCTCATTACTTTTATTGGTGTTGTTATCATCAGTTATGTTCTCATTTTGATTTTGTGGGCCGTCTTCCTGTGTTTTGATAAGATTTATTCTAGCATGTTTTAAATATTCTGATACTACATGCTTGGCATTTTCCGCGTTACTAGACGGCTGCGTTAAATTGCCTTTTACATTATTGACTAAATTGGCTGAACTGGAACTTTCCCTAGCCATTGAGATATCCTCCCTCGATACTATAGTTTTAATATTGACAGATTCACTTACATCCATTATTTTTGATTCAGTGTAAATGACTTGACCAGAAGAGGCTGTCGTCATTATGGAACTTTTAATAGAGTTGGTCGTCTTATTTTTAGTATCTATAGAACTATAACTATCGGTAAGGGATGGCTTCTCCATATCAATTTTTCTGACTTTACTTAAGCTGCTTGTTAGTTGACTTTGCTTAATCTTAGAATCTTGTAATGCTCTTTCGGTCAGGTAAGTATGCAACATCGGCTCTCCATTGGACCATTGAATCTGATGATTAGGAAGTTTAGCCTTAGCAGTATTTGAAGCTAAAGAGGCTAAAACACTGGATTCTCTTTCAGTTGGGATTTCAGGAATGTTAGGTGTTGATGGTTTCGAATCACTTTTGCTTAAATCCATAGGTTCATTTTCAGAACTACCTATGGATTCAGTTGGAGAACACTTTGCACTATTGCCAATTTCTTGACTGATTTCAACAGTAATATTGTCCAGTCCTATTGGCGTATATGGGTAAGTAGTAGGTCTAGCACTTGTGAGTAAACCAGGAGTTGCTGACGTTGTCGGCCTGGAACCTCCGAGTGATAATAAACAATGAGCAGCCTCATGTTCTGGCAGTCGTGATTTGTACACTTCGGTGTCTGTAAAAAAATATACATTATTAATGAATTAAAGAGTAAAAATCATTGAAACATTCAAAATTCATGTGACCAGACAAGTACATTGTTTTTCCGAGTAAAAATTGGTAAATGCCATATCACGTAAATTTTTTTACAGAAGTTTTACTGATGATAATAGCACTCTCTGTTCAAATTTCAGAATAAATTTACATAACAAGTGAACGTCATAAATTTTCTGTATGCTTAGAAGAATACGTATATTTAGAAAGTTACTTTTGTTGAAAATAATTAAATAGCAAGGATCTTACCACTGGACTCAGTTTCTCCTTCGTTGCCTTCGTCGCCTTCAGAATCTGTGTCATCGTCAGTTTCGCCTGAGCATTGTGCCATTTCTGCACTCTCCGAGTCATTTCCTTCATTTGGATTTATTCCTAATTCACAACATTTTTTGTAATGCGCTTTACTTTTCATATGTTTCGTTAAATTCCCCTTTGTTTTAAAACTGAAAAAGAAAGTTAATACCATGAAATACATTTACATTGTAACTATTCGAAGTTTAGTTTGTTATATAAGATTGATCAACTAAATTAATCCAAAAAATTACCTGAATGCACAGTGCACGCAGGTATAAGGACGTACGTCGGTATGTGTGCGTATGTGTTTTTTCAACATTGAAGGTTTTTTACATCGTATTCCACATTCAGAGCAAACGTAGCGTCCTCTTCCACGACCGCGCACGTATGTGTATTCTTCGTTACTTTCAAAACCACCAGTTAGCTCTTTTTTAGGAGTTACCATGTTGTCAGAAACTGGGCATTTATTTTCCTCCATTTTCTTAGAATCAATTGGTTGTGTAATCTGTAAAATTGTACAAAATATTTAATGTACTTAACAATACTTGGAAATAATTTCACTAATATTCCATTTTTAAACGCCAACATACCTGTTTGTTATCTTTTGAAAATGTATTCCACTGTGATGAATGAGTCAGAATTAGATCCTGTTTTATTACAGCAACAGCTACGTTTTGCGGTCGATGACGTGAGTCATAAAGAGACATGGCAGACGATGCTGACAGACCCAATGGATCTGGTGTCAACTCAGATAATAACTGTAAAACATTCATATATGTATTTAATATTTACAATCACTAACTGCTGAACTAATTACATTTAATAGTTTCAATTAAATGATAAAAATTACCTGCCAGTTGCTGTACATTGATAGAAACTCCTGTTTTGGAACATATGTCGGCTGAGGACGATTGATTGTACAATAGAAAACCTTTGTTGAACATTTTAGTCCTAGATAGGTGTAAGCATTTCCATTTAAATAAAGTTGCCCATAAGCTTTGGCGGGTCGAGGAGTCTCCGGTGATACAAGTGGCATGGTATTTGCATTTGGAGTGATGCCATGATGCCTTTTAGGTGTAAATGTACCTGGTTTTAAAGGTAATGTTGATGGTCGCAAAAATTTCGGTTTTCTTTCCTCTACAACAGCTTTAGGTACATTTTTCTGAAAGTAAGATGTTTCAGACCTTTCATTTTGAACTGAGACCGCTGGTGTATCTTGGGCATTGGTATTTTTTTGGACCTCAGACGAACTAGGAATTTGGTTATTGTTATAAATTTCAGCTTTCGTTATTAAATTTTCGAAATTGAAATTACGTACATCTTTTTCGGGTTTACTTTCATTTGCATTTTTAATCGAAAAATTGCTATTCACTTTTTCTTTGTTTGGTTTGAGTTTACCTGGAGAGTAAATAATATTTTCTTTTAAAACATGTGTTCTAGGCACCCCTTCAGAATTTCTTTTGATTGCTGCATCTTGTCTGAGTATGGACTTAACTAAAGTCTTTGTCGAAAGCACGTTAGACTCATCCACGTTCTTTATTTTTATTATAGGAACAGGAGAAATATAATGAGGTGGTATTTCAATGTTACTGGCGTCTGGAGTTGACCTCTGTTTTTCTAATTCTATATAAGATGATCTAGGATTTGGACTTTTACTGTTACGTGATGGTGGTGTATCATACTTAAACATTGTTCCTTTTGCACATTGAGCATTCATGGTTAGTAATGGTCCACTTCCGTCATCTCTAGATGTTTGCAAGGACATTTTATTATTATCTGTGGTTACCATACTCTTTGGCTGAGAGTTCAGATTTCCTACAAAAACACCTGGTGTATTTGGTCCAGGCATACCTGGTACATGAGGTATGAGTTTCCCAGCATGTAATATTGTTGTAGCACCATTTGGTGAAGATGGACTTAGAGGTGGTAAAGTTAGAGGATTAAATGCTGTAATAGCACTAAGAGGTGGAAATTGAAAATGAGTTATGTCATTTATATTTGGTAAATTTGAATTAGGTAAGGAAGTTGCAGTTGATATTGTGATTCTAGGTGTTTGCGCTTGTGGAGTCCCAACCATTTCTTTAGGTGTTGGAGGATTATGCATTATTGTTCCGCCAGAATGTAAACCAGATCTTACAACAACGCTGCTTGCTTCTGCATCATTAACAAGTTTTGAAGGCGAAAGATTTTGTTGTATTAATATTGGTGATAATTGGTTTTTGCTAGGTTCTATTCGAAGAGTAGTTGTACTTCCAGATTGATCGAGAATTTTCACTTCTCCTCCAAACATTTGTAGAGAAGTTGAATTATGTTTCATATGTTGTGATATTTCATCCAGTGATCTTAGAGCTGCCGAATTTGCATCAATACATCTGATCTTGGGTTGCGAATACAAATCGGGTGCTCTAGGTGAAATGTTTTCAATTAACCTAGGACTATATGAATCAGACCTATTATCAATTCTTCGTTTTGGGCTTGCAACAGGTCTTACTTTTAGATTTTCAGTTTTTCTAGTAAAATCAGATGGCACTCTAGTATCTACAAGTCTTGTATTACCAAGTAGTGGTCCTGGAGATGGCAAAGGAGCTACAACGTCATTTGGTTCTGGCTTCATAATTAGCAGATTCTCTGGCTTAATTCTAGATGGCGACATTTTTGTCGTATTATTACACCTAGAAAATGAGTTTGATGTTGTCTCAGGTAATCTGACATTGATTGAATTACTTCTTAGAAATACATTTTCGGGCCTCAAAGCTTTTATGTCTTTATGCGCCGTGTTATTACTTACACTTCCTTTACAATAATACATTCTATGTGTTTCTAAATTATCTGCGCTTCGGTAAATTATTTGACATAAAGGACATACAAATAATGGCCCATCAACCAATTCTGCCACCGACCCTAATACATTCATTTTTGTTTTAAGCAAAAGATCTTTTATGATGGAGCCTTCCGGATTTAAAGGATGTTTGTGATGGTCATTTTGAGTAAAACTTTCTGAGTGAGATCTTTTTCTAAACGAATTTTCATTTTCATAATTTGATTTTGTTAAATTCAATGGTGATGGTTCTGACTTTATTTCAACATTCAAGTCAATAAGCTGTTTATTTTCAGCTCTTTGTTTAATTTTACCATATTTCTTCTGCAATGGTGTATCAATAACGTCAACTATAGCTTCATTCTCTGATATTATCTTAGAGATATGTTCTGTAAGGAAGTCAGCGTTCGGTGAAATAGGTTTCTTTGCTTTATCTTTTTCTTCACATTCTTGGTATAGTGCTGCTCTAAATTTAGGCTTGTAAATTGATTTTGATTTTAAAATGTTATCATTTAAATACAGGCTTGTGGATGGTATATTATCAATAATCAATTCTGTCGAATCACTTGATTCTAAATTTTCAGTGCGCATTATTGAAACATCCGAACCAGTTTCTGATATTGATGTAGGTGGAATGGATGTGTCGCTTTCCGAGCCACCTGACAAATCCTCTTCATTTAATGTAACTGTCACGTCCGATCCTTGTAATCTTAATGCATGTGTTCTTGATCTCCGATGTTTATATAAATTAGATTTAGTTTTAAAAGCAAATCCACAGGGTACACAAGGGTATGGTCTCTCATTGGTATGAGCTCTGATATGTTTTTGGAGAACAGAAGGCTTGGCACAAGATAATTTACAGTATGGGCATATATATCGCCCACCTACCCCACCATTGTGGCCGTCTTTGATTAAATCATTTTCAAGATTTTCAGTCTTATTTGAAAATTCATCAGTAAAACTGGTCTGACCAGATACTTGAACAATATTATTTACATTACTTAATCTACCATTTTCTTCATTATAATTAATTTGTACATTTCTCAAAGTGTTCTGAAGTTCTAAATGCTGCGTATCTTCTTTTATTTTAATTTTCTCTATTTCTGGATGAGCTGCGGCAATACTACCGTTAGAGATTGAGAGACTGCTAGCAGATGTTGAAACTATTGCCTCTTTAAGTCTGGTATCACCGGCTTTTGATAGATTGCCGGGGTACACAGAAATCGTAGACGCCATTTTTTTGAACTTCTTGTGAAGATAGCTGTGGTCATTGTTATTGGCAAAGTTACTGTCTAAACGTTTTTCCTGCGTTAACGGCATTGTACCCGCGACGTCTGTACCTGTAAAAGACATAGGTTATTTTATAACTCGGTGGTAATTATACTCGTATTTTTTATTACACTTAACACAACCTTTTACTAAAAAATCACTCTGCAAATAATTTAAGAAAAGAGAAAACAAATGTAATTAATCGCCATTATTGTTTGTTATAGACGCAATAGTTTTTTTTATGTAATGAAAAAACCCTCAACTTATAAAATATAATTTTAAGTTATACATATTGAGATTGCGGATTTAATTTGCTAAAATTAAAATATATAATGTTGAACAGATATAAGGTAGGTACTATTTTTAGACGTTATTTACGACGAAATCGAACTCCTAATTGTGATATGGTATATTGAAATATCATTCACAATCACGATCAGTACACTTGTACTGACGACTGTCGCTTGACGTTTGGGACAAAATATGAAATATTTGGACTTCCAAATATTTCATATTTTGTCCCAAACGTCGACAGCCGTTTCAAGGTCTCGTTTATACGTGAGATTTCCGTCCGTAGTGGTCCGTATCCGTATTCGCGGATAATTCTATCCACAGATATAACCTATTTTAACAATTCTGCATCACTAGTCCTCTAAAATTTAGAATCTGTTAAATAATAATAATAAAGTCATTTATTCTATCGCCACTATACAAGTACACAATACAAAATAAGTAGGTTACTTAACAATCGTCATGGAAATAATTGTAGTACTGTAGATTTTTGGAGCTTGTCACCTATTTACCTTTACAAAATTGGCTATCCTTGCTTTTCATAAAAACTAGCAGTTTTAACGTTCATTTTTGGTAGTCCACTGCTGGACATAGGGCGCTCTTTAGAATGGAGGTTTTGGTCTCCTATATCACGTTGGACAGACAGGGTTTGTTTTTAGTTTTCCTGCTCTTTGCAGTACTGTTGTTCTGCGTAGTTTGCGCCCTTAGGCATTGCGCACACTATCGGCAAGGCAGGTCCTCGCTTCGGCAGTCTTCGGCAGCGTCGGGCATAACTAAGGACGCCCCGGTATACTTCGGAAGCCAAGGCAAACCTAAGGACGCCGAAGCAACCCTCGGCCAGTTTAGGCAGTCTTCGAGACACCGGGTCAAAACTGTGAATCGTACCCAGCTGCAAGCGTAGCCATTTGCTTGAAGACACCGTCAATGATCGCACGTGTGTAGGTTCGCTTGCAACGTTACCACTGTTCTAAATTAAGCTAGGTATCAGACTGTTGCGGTGTCATTTCTAAGCAGACGTCAGCTTGCCTGAGAACTCCTCGTCAATAATTGCTCAATGAGCGTCTGCGCGTAGGTATGCCGAAGGATCCCTTGCCATGCCGTGCCGATAGTGGGCGCCGGCCCTTACTCGGTTCTTACGACACCCACGGGATGAATGACGGAGACGGGACGGGCGACGACGCACGACGCTCAGTATTCTTAACCCGTCACCACACAGATAGTCCTTCAATATGTTATTAACTCTTAGTTAACGTTGCTCTATCTAACTTTAGTGAATTTCTGCGTACAGCAGTTAAAGGTACAAAGATCAGCTCGGCCCCCACAAGAAAATACTTTTAGACAACCGATCTCATCATCATCATCAGCCTATCGCAGTCCTGCTCTTCCATTGCACGCCACTGGATCAACTGATTTCAAATTGTTCCAATTAATAAATATGTTTTATGCCTTACTGTATGTATACTTATTTATTTAGAACTTAATGCACATGTTGTGCAAAGGCGGCCCAGGCAATCTTCAGGTGATTTAGAAATCTGATGCGGTAGGTGCGAAGATAAAATATTAAAGGAGTTTGAAGTTGGGGTAGTTCTGCGGCCAGTGATGAAACTTGAATATTTTGAAAGAATAAAGACATGAAAAATTATAATGGACAGATGTCTCTAAACCATATCGGAACGGAGATACTTGCTTTTAAATTGTCCATTAAAATTGAAGAAATTATTATATTCTATTGCAATCTATTAGGTTTCTACCTTATATTTTAAGAATTAGTGATCAAAGTTTGCCTAGAACTTAAACTGGATTCCTTCAGGCAGAATCCAATCCCGATCGAATTCATCTAGATGGAAATGTTCAATATATTTTCTTGTAAAAAGAGCTGCAAAAGAGCTGGATGCAATATTGGGGCACTTTTATTTGCTGAAAACGGACCTAAGTATACTGTTCATTCCCATGTAACTTCCGTTTTATGGTAAGATATGATTATGTCGTGGGTTCAATTCCCACCCAGGACAAATGTTTGTGTGATGAGCATGGTCGTTTGTTCTGTTTGTATCTATAATATGTATGTATTTAGAAATATATAAGTATGTTTATCAGCAGTCTGGTTACTATAGTACAGGCTCTGCCTACTTTGGGACCAGACTGCCGTGTGTGAGATGTGTGAGGTTATTATTATTATTATTTAACATAACATTGACAACGACTGCTATTGCGCTGAGTGTTGTGGGTTCGATTCCCCCATGGGATAACACTTAGTATGATCTACAATTTGTTGTTTTGAGTCAGGGTGTTTTTTGTGCCTATTTCATGAATGTTTGTAAAGTCCTCAACGATACAGGATATGTTCCTAGTGCGGGAGTTGTCTTTTTAAAAGTATAAAAAAAGGCCAACCTCTAATATCAAAATTCTAAAGTCATAAATAGGATTTATTATTTATTTACTCAGAACATTTTTTGAAATTTTACATTGACGAAATTTTACAAATCTTTAAATGCAAATATCTCAGTTCGGGTATCACTTAGGACAAAAATAATTGACCACATATTTGTGTAACTAACACAGCATAATAAAGTAATATTAAAATTGTTGGCAGCCGCTGAAAAAACAATAACGACGCCACTAATCCATATAAAGTTACTCAAACCCCTTTCATAATATTTTGGTAAATAAGAGATTGTGCTTTTTTTCAAATAAAATATAATTAGTGTTATGTTGTAATGTATTTAGTGATGAGACAAATGTTTCTATTTCAATTTTATAAATTGATATTTATAAAAAGAACCAGCTGACCCGGCGAAATTCGTACTGCCATATTTTATTTATGAATATTTTCGAAAATCTTGACGGACTTGTTTTACTATTTATGCATTCACTCAACCACTTTTCACATTATAAGATTTTGAATAAAAACTGTCTTTTTTATATATTTTCAGTTAATGTAGGTACATTTATTAAAAAATGTGAGACAATTTTACTGTAGGTAATTTTATATTTTGCGGACCTGATTACCTTTTATATTATGCTTTAACAAACTGAACTATATCTTTAACTATAACAAAATAAAACATTAAAAAACAAGTTGTTTAATTTTGCCACAACTATTATTTATAACGTAACTACAATTAGCTACTTATTTCGGCTATTTATTTAGTTTTCCTACAAGTTAAATCCATTTGGTAGAGTAAAATTTGGTGAAATAAATGCAGTTATTGAATTTATCAAACTCGAAATATTTTTAAATGTAAAACATAGTGGCTTTGTATGTTACATTATTTTGATATTTTAAACTATTATTGGTCTCATATAAAATAAAAGCTGTATTATGATATTAATAAAGTTATATTTTGGAAGAAATATAAAAGTACAATAATATTTAAAAAAAGGGTATTGTAAAAGGATATTTATCATGCCACAAAATTAAAAAAATAAACAAAATTATAGCAATTATAACAAGTGGAAACAAATTAACTTAAAGTATTCTTTCAAATCAAAACAGAAAATAATTTAAACCCAAAAAATAACAATATGGCTCTAAAATCAGAGACCTAATTACAAAAGACATACTTAAGTAGTAAGTAAAACTATGAAAAACTTAAAATAGGTATGTTAGTTGATTTATTTGCCATTTAACTTATCATTGACCACAGTTATTGATTTATTTACTGAGTTATTTATTTTTAATTTATTTAATTTTCCAACAACGGGGACGATATAGTATACTATTGTACTAGTGTAGTACTAGTCACGGAGTTCTAATTTCAAATTTAGTAGTTGAATGCAATCATGCTATTGGGTAATATTTGACAATATTGAACGACTTAGACGTTTTGAGTTTAGATTGATTTGAGAATCTAAATCATTTAGTATACTGTATACTATATACTATTGTACTAGTGTAGCAATGTTAACATATTAACAAGCTTGTTGTTCGTCCAAAATTAAATATAATAAATATTAAAATAAAAATTACTAGATAGGCTATAACGGAACGTTCAAGTTATTTATCAACACTTGACATAGGTATTGAAATGTCATACAATGTTTTTAGTTTTATATTTCTAAATTTTTTATTACGAGAATACTATTACACTTTTAACATAAACCTAAAGGTTGTAGTGATTTTAATTTAAACAAGTATTGTGTGTGTAAAATGTGAATTTCAGTGAATTCAATATCAAATAAGGTAAATTAAAGTGAATTGATTATAGTGCTTATAAGTATTTCTTTATAAGTAAATCTTTCGTAAGTATTTAGAAACAAATCATCATTAAACAGCATTCATTTCTCCTAAAATGCCCCCTTTTTTTCTGTGGGGGCAATCCCCTCGGATAACACCCACCGGTGGTTATTTCGGACTCGACCCGACCAAAAACTGCACGCCGTCTCGGTTACCAGTTGCCGGGGAACCAGGTGTACCCCCTCCTGTGTGGGAACCCCTATGTCCCCTTTGTGCTCCCGAAAGGGCGCGCACGCTTCGCAGCGCGTCTCGCCACCATCCCGGCCTGCTTCTGCTGGGGTGACAGATGGCCTCACCTACCACTCCCAGGCCATTCTGCGACCTCCGGCGCCTGAGTCGTCTGCGGTACCTGGCCCGTTGCCGGGACTGGCGCACTGGGAGAGTTCTAAACCGGTTGGAGCAGCCGCGTCAATGCACGCGCTGCTCCAACCAACTTGGGGACCAGACCTCGAAAATGGTGTCCGAAATCCCATCGGCCATCAAGTACGAGCCCCAGCCTATCGAGGGCTCGATGCCGATGCGAGTGCCTCCTATTATGAGGCCCCCATAAAATGCCCTAGAAATCACCGCATGAGACTATTTTCAGCTTGTCCCACGTAAACAAAGACCACAGTTGTTAAAATCTATACCTGAGTAAAGATTTTGACATAAAACTCGTTCTAAATAAGATATCACTCACTTGAGTATGGATCAGTAATTCTCGATTTAAGTGACGTTCAATCATAAAATCTCCACTTAAAAAAAATTTTCGGGGACAATTTGTGGATCAAACAAAGTGTCGACCCATGTGGTGATCGAAACTTCTACACTCAGTGTAGTAGGAAACGGCGAGGCGACCGTCTAAACCACTACGCCATCCGTGCAGTCATATTAGTTTGTGTTGGAATAGTAAACATCAAATAGTTTATAACTCTAGAAATACTTTTTAAATGGAATTATTTAAATTTAATTCTTTAATTTGTCATTTGTGAAAGTGGCTGAAGGAGCCATTGATATGCAATATATACAGAGGGATGTGATGGTAGCTGATGAACTTACTAAAGCAACATCATACTCAAAACTGGTATATTGTTCTACCAAGATGGGCTTGATTTCTGTTTAAGGGAATCCTCCTAAGGGTTGAAACAGTAAACATCAAATAAATTGTAACTCTAGAAATACTTTTTAAATGGAATTATTTAATTCTTTGTCATTTGTGACGCTCGTGTGTTTACCTGTCATGTCAGCGTTTTCTTTTCCTCACTTACCTTACATAACCGTTGTTAAACTTACAATATCGAGTTCATTATTTCCCAACAGTTTGCAATAGGGCAAATTAGTTTTAAGAATCGATTCACGACTGAGACACCTTTTAAAATACGGGCCTAAGAGCCGACCAAGGAACTGGGCAAGGGTCTGTCTTTTAAAATTGATTGATTGATTTTTGGGTTATCATTGTCACACTATATTGTTCTAGTATTTCTTTGAAATATCAAATAAGTTGTTATAAATGTTTTCAATCTCTTTTTTAATTGCTTGTTCAGTAAGGGTATATACCGGAATGACATATGTCTCTTCCTCCGAGCCTTTTTACCAAAATAGGGTAATAGAGTCATCATTTAAACCTACTACGATTTACGGCTGAACTTCCATTTTTTACGCGGAGCTACTGCCATCATCAACAGCCTATACTAGTCCACTGCTGGACATAGGCCTCTCCTTAGAAAGGAGGTTTTGGCCTACTATACCACGCTGGCCAGACGGGTTGGTATAGGGTTTGTTTCAAGTTTTCCTTCTCTTTGCAGTGCTGTTCTCCTGCTTAGTTTGCTCCCTTAGTCGGTTCTTACGACACCCACGGGATGAATTGGAGTGGTGACAATTTGTATTCTTAATCCGTCACCACACGGACAGACACCATCAGACCTCCGTAACCCAAGTACTAGGCGATATCGAAGTTCTGTAGAAAGACTGTTGTCGAACTTTTTAGGGCGGATAGTTGATATCCGTAACGATTGCCACAGATGTTCGTATGGCAACCGGGACCGTCGGCTTAACGTGCTCTCGCGAGGCACGGAGGGGTCTCAATGTGTTAAGAATGGTCATCCATCTATAGACTGACCTGTCTAGGATTACTTAACTTTGCAATTTGTTAACCTACTTGCTTTCACTTCGCCACGAGCCCCTCTACCTGAATGACAACCATAATATTTTTTGTAGACCAGTTAGTTTAACTTTTAATATCTCTATTCTGACAGAAATTCATATTAGTCCTGTCCTACTCTCCTCAATAACATGAAAAATTTATTCCTGAGTATAATATAACTAGTGGTTAATTTAGTTTATTAATAAAATTCAGTATTTTGCTAAAATTAACTATTTACTTTTTTATCGATTACAGCCTTCTCTTAATTAAAATTCGATTGTTACTGTTAACAGAAAAAGCAACGTCATGACCAATTGACTAGTTATGGATATTTTGAAACGAAAATATAAAATGAAAATGAATGGAGATTCTATAGGTAAACTTCATAGAGACGCTCACATAAAACAGCGACGCGGTGAACGTGTTGACGCAACGCGCATGTGCTGCGCTATTTCTATTGGTGTGTGGTGTGACATCATCGTGACGTCACTCTAATAGACGAGGATATCCCTAGCCATCTTTGTTCACTGTTTCGTTTTTTTATACCAGACGATCCGATTGTCGGTGTATTGTGCGTTCTAAATGGGCCCGAACCTGCTTGTAAAAGATGAAGTTTTTACAGACAATTTGATTTTAAAAATTCATAAACACCTTTAATGTCTAATCTGGAAAGCCCGTAATAAATATTCTTAAAATACATGATAAACGTATACCTATGTGTGTTATTATTATTAAAGATAGTGAATTAGTATCATACAGTAAGATGGAGAGCCACAATTGTGTGAGTGTTATCTACACAATACCAACACGTGTAGTAGTGACGGACGACCTCGCTGCGATGTTGGTTGGTAGTTGGTACGTTCCAAGAAGGCGTTACAATTTCTGAGAACTGGCGACAGCTAAGTCGCCCCGCTCGGTTTAAAACGAGCTTGTAGATAATATCAATACGCACTTGTCGACTTTTGATGAACTGTTAAGCTTAATTCATACTTTTTGTTTAGGTAAGAGACATACAACCTAAGACTGATGAACTAAAAAGCATTATCAATTTGAGTGAGTTTTATAGCGTTATTAAATGAGATCCGAGAAAATCTAAAACTTCTTCCAGAAGCAAATTTGAGAAATAGTAGAGGTGTAATGAGACAAAGGAATCCCGGCGACTGGCCGCCGCCCGCCGGCCTGGCGCCAAGCCAGGCGGCCCTGGCGTCGCCTGTGTCGGCCGCCAGCACGCCGCCAGCTTCTCCTACCTATCACGTCTCTTCGCACTAGTGTATACAACAGTAGTTTATAGATGGTTTGACTATGTGTATTAGATTATTGGTGGATGATCTCTTATGATTCCAGCTAATGCAAAACGTTGGACCTTCAGGCATGTTTTTGTTTTGTTTCACCTAAACATTCAAATGTAAAATTATTTTGAAAATATTTAGTATTTAAATAGTACACGTTACAGTACAAATGGTGAACGATTGAAAGCTGTAATCCGGTTAATCCCCTATAACGACTTAGATGTATGAATCATTTAACTGCACTGTCTATAGAAAGTAAGTAAATAAATAAAATAAACATATCGCCGGCGCATAGGGTAGGCCTATCTTTCTGTAGCAGTCTTGAGTACTATGAGGAAATGTTTATCTTGTACTTTAAAAAAATAACAAAGTACCTACCTAAAATTTAAATTTTAAATACTCGTATAGGTAGGTACTAACTTAAGTTCTTATAACAGGTAAAATCGATGTATGTGCCAAACTATGATCTAGGTAAATTTGTTTTTTAAACTTATTTTAAGGAATAGCTGACCTGTCTAATTTTTAATTGGTTTGTATCGAACAGTTTATGTATTAAAAGTTTATGTAAAAAAAATATTTTAATACAATAATAAAATGAGAAAAAGATATCACTATAAACCGTTCAGAAATTGTGTGTATATTACATGATTTGGTAGAAAGGTGTGTACGCAAAAAGTAGTGATGCCATATTGAACAAGAAAACCTTACCGCGGCGTAATTGATCAGTCCACCATTATATCACGGCTGTCTTTATATCATTTGTTGACGCCTTCATAACAAATGTCAACAAGTCCGATAGGCTGCATTTCACCCGCGCGCAAGTGAATCATCGTTAATAATTGCGCGACGATCCACGCCACACGGCACACACACACACAGAAACACCTGTACTATCGTCACACAAGTCTCACTACACTATAAACAACTCCACTTTCTTTTAAGAGACGAAAACAATCGTTAACATAAGTATTTATTTAATGTTTGTAAATTGTAAAATATGTGTTGCTTAATCGTTCCTTTGAAGGGATAACGCACGTAACCACATCGCGGATGAATGTTCAACTGTTTGTAATGTCGTTGGTTTGTTCGTTTCGTTCCATTCGGCACCCCGCACCACCCGCGCCCATACCCGCGCACCGCACTCTGCGCTCTCGCTGTAAAGTAGTGATTCATGTCGCGTTTTATCTATCTCCCTCCTTCGCCGCAACCGGATCGGTTGTTCTTCGTAATCTATTTATACGTATCTACATAATATGCACGGACTTTAACCTGTGCTTTAAGTAGAATAATTCAAAACATCTATATGAGTAGGTAGGTACCATTTCTATATATAATTATATAATGTAAGTGTACTCAGGTAAAAATGTCATAATTTTTATTTTGAAGCAATGGTAATATTAAAGGTCTATAATTAATATTATAGTTTATAGATTGTTTTGTAACTACTCATACATAAAATTTTCATAAGACTATAATTATAGGTAAAACTTGTTGTTTAACATGTAATATCTATTTTTTGCTCAAACTCAAACTCAGATTTCTTTATTTCATAAAAAAAATAAAATATATATTTGAAAACGTCTCTTGTTTAGACTAGAAGTCATAGATCAACACACACAATAGCAACAATCTCTGTTTCGGCAAATATTTAGCAAACTAAATATATACCTATCGCAAATCTATACTAATATTATAAAGCTGAAGAGTTTGTTTGTTTATTTGTTTGTTTGTTTGTTTGAACGCGCTAATCTCAGGAACTACTGGTCCGATTTGAAAAATTCTTTCAGTGTTGGATAGCCCATTTATCGAGAAAGGCTATAGGCTATATATCATCACGCTAAGACCAATAGGAGCGGAGCACCAATGAAGAATGTTTCAAAAACGGAGAAAATTTATTACTATTGAAAGACGCAGACGAAGTTGCGCGGGTCAGCTAGTCTCTTACATGCCCGTGCCGATCTACGACCGCCCATTTCCAAGGGGTTGAGCCTTATGAGAAGAAAGGGCAAACAAACTCACGGCCACTCTTTTCAATCAACAGATAACAATGGCATCATTAAATATACACAACATTGTCTTGATGTGTGCCAGTATGTAAGTTCTAAGAACTAAAGGGTAAAAAGGCAATGAAGAGAAAACAAGATATAGGAACAAGATGGAATAAAAAAGAACGTGAAGTAAAACATAAAAAAATGGAAAATTAAATAAAAGACACACTAGCCCATATCACATTTCCACTATGAAATAGCCTGTGCTAAATTAATCCCAAGCATTCTTGTCTTCTATGTAATCTACAATTGAGTAGGCTTTCTGACATGGTTTAAGTTTTATTGTGAATTTAAATTTATTCATACTAAAATCTTGTATACTATTTGGAATTTTATTATAGAATCGGACACATTGACCTCGAAATGACTTGTTTATCTTTTGGAGCCTAGAGGCAGGTACAACAAGTTAATTTCTATTTCTGGTATTAAAAGCATGTAGGTACATCACTTCTTTTCAATTGTTTATACATATAAAACACGGGACTATTTTATTCTTTAGACAATAGAAACAAACAACGGCAAGAGAATAAGAAATAAGAATGAGCGAGAGCCTTTGATACTATGTGATATGAAAAAATTGATGTCCTTTTGTATCAGACATCGCAAGCAGCTCAATGTAATTTTCATGCAGCGTTGATTTCGTAACGGTTGCGTTCAACTAGAACGGGTATTGGTTTTATATGCCACCGTCTACTACATTCTCTATTGCAGGAATCAATTTAGCGCATGATATGTTAAGTATTCATTATAAACAGAACCTTAAATAATGCAACAGTTATTGATGCTTACTAAAGAATGTTGGCATTAGTGTTTTATAAGATGATTTTATACTGGGCATTTTCCTCTATTTCATTTATCTCGTGAACTTATTATCGGTAAGACCTCCTTATCAAAACTATGAATATAAATTATATACCTACATAATATATGTACACGTTATGTCTGTATTTATCATACTGTTACCTACACAAGAAAAATTGTCATAATTAAATAATAAATCTAGACTGCAAATTACGTACGTACGTAGATGTATGGTGATAATTTTTAATGGAGAACCTTCATGACACTGTCTAGATACCAATGTAGATATAATATGAATATATACATATTTTTGCAATGATAATTGGTATTCGCTTATCAGTATTGCGGAGGTGATGACGCACGCATTTCGAGGATAGCACGCAGTCGGTCAATTGCGAACAACTAGTGAGGAAGCAAGCGTCGCGTACTTCGATCGTACACTGACTGCTACCAACAACTCGTTTCTGAGCGTGTACTGTTCTGAATCTTATCTTATTTACTGTTTCTACAACGCTAACCGTGGACCTATAGCACTTATTAAGTATATACTATATACATAATACGTAATTTAGCATGTCTAATGTACACCTACTGTTATGAACTGTCGCTTTGAAAAAGCTCAATCCTACTATTATACAGCCAGCCAATAGTCAAGTATTTCAACATTTTTTTTAGTTGCACAAGGGTGATTTAGAAGGGAATTACCTTTTATTACCAGATAAAATTCATTACGGTTATGGTTCTGTCATATCCAACGTTGGTCAACACTATCATTGACTACTGTTTCGTAAATAGTGGGCATGTGAAGTGCGGGGGCGCGTGGCACTTGTTGCGTTGTTTGGTTGGCGTCGGTACCGCCTGTTGCCGAGTTTCGACGTCACATTACGACCTTGAGCTGCACGACAAGGGGAATGTCTGTTTCTGTGCCTCCTGGGTTTGAGAACGTTCGTGCATTACGACATTATAAGATGACATCATATCGAAATCAAGATGCAAAGACAAGTTACAAATATGTATTTTTTTTATTATATTATAACAATAATATGATTAATACAGCCACAAGAGATAAAACAAGAAAATAATAGAGGAAGTGGTTTAAGTGTGCTAAATTTGGGTTAAAAGAAAATAAGCAAAGATATTACTACTGATTAAAATACTCGTACTTATACCTATTTACAGATTTATTTTTCAGATTATTTCAGATCAAACCGTGAGAGCAGTTATTATGATACCAAAGTTTGCCTTAATGTGCCCAGCACGCACACCAGCAGTTGTATTCTAAACAGGCAATAGCAATAAAAACACTAGTCTGAGTTAAAGCATTTGGCAACGCAGCTGTTGAATAAATATATGTTCACCCGGGCGCCACGATGTCGCGTGGGCGGGAAGCCATGAAACCAGTCTTGAGTGTCAACTGTGGCAAGTTAAGCTCACTAGTCTACTATTGAGAAGTAAATAGTCTATTAACGAAATTGTCTTGTATGATGTATAATATACTCATAACTAATCCTATCAACCTCTTTACATGTTATTGGTACATATATTTATAAAAGATAACACTTTTATCATTCATGATGTCTTTGGTTATATTATTTAGACCATATTACTCATTGTTAAATGTTATCAAAAATCATAGTTATAATAAAATACGAATTTTATTACGCCTTTTAATAACTAGTTGAATTGTATGACGATAGTTCTTTAAAAACCAATACCAAATAATTAGAAAACTGTGTTCTTAAATAGTTCGTGGTTGCACATATTGAGTCAAGATACTCAGTATGAACGGCTTCTTTGTGCTAAAACAAGTTTGGACCTGTGCAAATGCAGAGCGGCCCGCGTTACCTCCCCACCTTGCTTGGGCTTCCCTCGGAACCAGGTCATCGTTAACTTGTTCGACCGCTACGCCAATCTACTCGCTGCCGACAGCGACCGCACCCGATCTGAGATTTCTTAGAAAATCATTTGAATTGCTCTTTTATACTCCATCTGACATCATACGTATACAATACATTTAATTATAATAACTTGACTGTAGGTCTTGCACCAATTATTGTAATATTATTGGTTGGAAACACAAACAGGTATAATACCGGTGAAACTTAAAAAAAAACTTAAAAATCTCTCTTAA